ATATATATATATATATATATACATATACATACTGTAAGTTCTGGGGTACATGTGCAGATGGTGCAGGATTGTTACATAGGTATACACATGCCATGGTGGTTTACTGCATCCATCCCCCCATCATCTACATTAGGTATTTCTCCTAATGTTATCCCTCCCCAATCCGCCGATCCCCTGCTATCCCTCCCCTAGTTTGCCCACACTTAACAGGCCCCGGTGTGTGATGTTCCCCTCCCAATGTCCATGTGTTCTCATTGTTCAACCACTTATGAGTGAGAACATGTGGTGTTTGGTTTTCTGTTCTTGTGTCAGTTTGCTGAGAATGATGGTTTCCAGATTCATCCATGTCCCCGCAAAGGACATGAACTCATTCTTTTTTATGGCTGCATAGTATTCCATGGTGTATATGTGCCACATTTTCTTTATCTAGTCTATCATTGATGGGCATTTGGGTTGGTTCCAAGTTTTTGCTATTGTTAAACAGTGCCACAATAAACATACATGTGCATGTGTCTTTATATTAGAATAATTTATAATCCTTTGGATATATACCCAGTAATGGGATTGCTGAGTCTAATGGTATTTCTATTTCTAGATCCTTGAGGAATCACCACACTGTCTTCCACAATGACTGAACAAATTTAGACTCCCACCAACAATGTAAAAACGTTCCTATTTCTCCACATCCTCTCCAGCATCTATTGTCTCCTGATTTTTTTAATGATCGCCATTCTAACTGGTGTGAGATGGTATCACAATGTGGTTTTGCTTTGCATTTCTCTAATGACCAGTGATGATGAGCATTTTTTCATATGTTTGTTGGCTGCATAGATGTCTTTTTTTGAAAAGTATCTGTTCATATCCTTTGCCTCATTTTTGATGAGGTTATGTTTTTTTCTTGTAAATTTGTCTAAGTTCTTTGTAGATTCTGGCTACTAGCCCTTTGTCAGATGGGTATCTTGGAAAAATTTTTTCCCATTCTGTTGGTTGCCAGCTCACCCTAATGATAGCCTCTTTTGCTAGGCAGAAGCTCTTAAGTTTAATTAGATCCCATTTGTCTATTTTGGCTTTTGTTGCCATTGCTTTTGGTGTTTTAGTCATAGAGTCTTTGCCTATGCCTATGTTCTGAATGGTATTGCCTATGTTTTCTTCTAGAGTTTTTATGTTAGGTCTTATGTTTAAATCTTGAATCCATCTGGAGTTAATTTTTGTATAAGGTGTAAGGAAGGGGTCCAGTTTCTGCCTTTCTGCACACGGCTAGCCAGTTTTCCCAACACCATTTATTAAACAGGGAATCCTTTCCCCATTGCTTGTTTTGGTCAGGTTTGTCAAAGATCAGATGCTTGTAGATGTGTTGTGTTACTTCTGAGGCCTCTGTTCTGTTCCATTGGTCTATATCTCTGTTTTGTTTACCAGTACCATGCTGTTTTAATTACTGTAGCCTTGTAGTATACTTTGAAGTCAGGTAGTGTGATGTCACCAGCTTTGTTTTTTTGTTTTTTTGTTTTGCTTAGGATTCTCTTGGCTATGCAGGCTCTCTTTTGATTCCATATGAAGTTTAAGGGGGTTTTTTCCAGTTCTGTGAAGAAGGTCAATGGTAGCTTGATGGGGATAGCACTGAATCTATAAATTACTTTGGGCAGTATGGCCATTTTCACTATATTGATTCTTTCTAACAATGAGCATGGAATGTTTCTCCATCTGTTTGTGTCCTCTCTTATTTCCTTGAAGAGTGGTTTGTAGTTCTCCTTGAAGAGGTCCTTCATATCCCTTGTTAGGTGTATTTCTAGGTATTTTATTCTCTTTGTAGCAATTGTGAATGGGAGTTCACTCATTTTTTGGCTCTCTGTTTGTTATTGGTGTATAGGAATGCTTGTGATTTTTGCACATTGATTTTGTATCCTGAGACTTTGCTGAAGTTGCTTATCATCTTAAGGAGATTTTAGGCTGAGATGATGGGATCGTCTAAATATACAATCATGTCATCTGCAAATAGAGACAATTTGATTTCCTCTTTTCCTAACTGAATACCCTTTATTTCTTTTACTTGCCTGATTGCTCTGGCCAGAACTTCTAATACTGTTGAATAGGAATGGTGAGAGAGGGCACCCTTGTCTTTTTTTTTTTTCTGACCTGCCCCCCCCAACCCCGGCACCCTTTTCTTGTGCCAGTTTTCAAAGGGAATGCTTCCAGTTTTCGCCCATTCAGTATTTCTGACATCAGCCGAGGCTCCCTCTCGCGCCTTCTGGGGGTTGGAAAGGGAGACAAGATGAGGACCAGCGACTTTTGCTTCTCTGGGCAGCCGCAGACGTGGCTCCTGGCTGCTAACCAAGGCTACCCACTGCGCCCAGATCATTTCCTGGCAGCAGCAGCCCACACCTAAGTTTTAAATAAAATGTAATCTACATGGCTTCACATGTTTCTTCCTTTTTCTTCACATTTCTTCCATTTTCTCTCTCAGAGTCTCTCACCCTGTGTGTATTCTGGTATCTCTCTTTATGTACCCATACATAAGTCTGTTTAGCTTTCAAGCAGTTAGAGAGGCAAGACCATTCAGAACACGCTCCTCATGTAGGCAGTGTGGAAAGGAAGAAAGATGATGAATAGTTGAGAGAGATAGAGATAGGAAGGAGACAAGGAAGGATTTAGGTGTTGTTTGTTTATGTAGATCTTTCAGAAATCTTAATAAGTGGGTTTCTGATCTTCAGTAGAAAAAAACGTGCCTGCCCTCATTTTCGATTCAATTAGGACCATCAGTCATCCTTATCTTTGTACTTGTTATTTCTACATCATGCTTCCCCATTTCTACAGAAATTCTCTGTACAGTTTCCAAGTTTGCGCCCAATTATTTGCACTGACTGCAATTTAGATTGGCTGTTTCCAAACAACCTCTAGGGAAGCTCCTTCATTTCCTAATTCGTCATTGCGCTATGGTTTAGTGTCATATCACAGGGCCAGAGGAATTCTGAAGTACATGCTGTTCTGCCTCACACGTTTTCCTTTGCCCCCTACCCTGTGGCTCACTCTGTGTCTAAATTCCTTCTAAACAGGCCTGGTGGCCATCTAGCCAAGAGAGGTCATCTTCAGTGACAGGAAGCTCACTACCTCTTGAGGTGGCCCAGACCATTTTTATAAGCTCTAATCACAGTTAAAATACCTGTCTCTCTGTCACTTTTGCCCACTGTTATTTCTAACCACTGAAGTCTCTCAGAGCAATTTAACCATAAAATTGTTTGCATAAAACCCCTTCAAAAAATAATTATATTTATAATAGTATGAGAAAGAACAAAATACTTAAGAATAACCAGAGGTGAAAGACTGGTACACTGAAAACTAGAAAGCATTGCTGAAGGAAATTAAAGAAGACACCAGTAAATGGAAAGACATCTTGTGTTTCATGAATTAGAAAACCTAATATTATTAATATGTCAATACTACCCAAAGCAATCTACAGAGTCCATAGAATCTCTGTCAAAGCCCCAATGATATTTTCTGCAGAAATACAAAATCATCCTAATATTCATATTGAATTTCAAGAGACCCCAAAACAGCCAAAGCAATCTTTAAAAAGAACAGCTGGAGGTTTCACACTTCCTGATTTCAAAACTTAATACAAAGCTACAGTAATGAAAACAGTATGCTACTGACATACAGGCAGACATATAGATCAGTGGAATAGAACTGAAAGTCCAGAAATAATCCCACACATCTATGGTCAACTGATTTTTGACAAGAGTGCCAAGACCATTTAACAGGGAAAGAATAGTTGCTATGACTTGAATGTTCCCACTGAAAGTCATGTTGAAATGTAATTGCCATTGTAAGAGTATTAAAAGGTGGAGCTTTTCAGAGATGATTGGCCTATGAGGACTCTGCTCTCATGAATTGATTAGTACTGTTATTTTAGGAGTGGGTTAGATATCTCTGGCATGGGTACCTGATAAAAACAATGAGTTTGGCCTGACTTCCTCTTCTGTCTCACATGCTCACTTCTGCATTTCACCCTTCTGCCATGAGATCATCCTCACCACATGTTGGCACCATGCCCTTGGACTTCCTAGCTTCAAGAACCATGAGCCAAATAAGTTTATTTATAAATTACCCAGTTTATAGTATTGTGTTATAACAGCAGAAAACAGAACTAAGACAATAGTATTTTCAATGAGTGATGTTTGAAAAACAGAATAGTCACATGGAAAAAATGTATTTGGATCCTTACTTTACACCATATATAAAAGTTAACTGGAAATGGATCAAAGACCCAA